TTTAGCTAATTAATTTTAGTGACATAACCAAACCTGTTAAATCACATAAATTATTTTTATAACAATAATAAAAGTAATTTCAATATTTCTTAGTTACTTAATTAATCGTTATTCCTTAAAACTATAAAGGTTATTTTGTTATTATTTATATTTGATGTCATCAATACACTAATTCATATATAATTTTGTATGTTTATATTTTGTATGTTTATATTTGTATTTTCATTTTTACTACCATTATCCAACTTAATTTAAAATATCATATATAAATAATATTTCAATTGCATCACCTATGCATATGGTTTTGCTATAGAGCTATCGAATGATTCGACTTATGGAGTCATTCATAGTTATCCACAAATAGTGTATTGACATGTATCCTGCAATAAATATACATTAGACACGTGTCAATATATGAAGTTATCGATGGCTCTATAAGAGAACCATCCGATGGCTCCATAACCTTTATCGGGGCAGAAAAGCAAGGTGATAGTAGCAACAATAATGATGGCAACAATAGTAAATGAAGTTGGGGGGGGTTTGGGCCAGCAAAAGCAAAAGGCTGAGGGGCAGAAAAGAAAAGGGGCACTCCGCTCGTGCACATGCACGTGCGACCCCACAATCCACATGGGGACTTTTAATCATCCCTGGCTGTACCCACCCACGCACGGCTTCAACATTTTCAACTCGTGTTCCTACCCGTGATACATTTTGTTTCCCACACCTTTTAACGTCCGTTAGTTATCACGGCGTCTTGTGTGGGCTACCGTTGCTACTTATTTATGATGATTGTGAAGGGCTTGCTTGTGATAAGTTTATTTATTTTTAAGGTCTCGTTATTCCGTCGGAGTTTGTAACCGTTAGATCAATTGTCCATGATGGTTATATGATGATCTTATAGTTATAAATTCCAAAAACGAAATGGTTTCGTAACGAGACTGTAGCATTTTCCTATTTTTAATGGATATTAATAGATAAATTTATTGTATTATAAAGGAAATAGTTTCGTAACGAGACTGTAGCATTTTCTTATTTTTAATTGATATTAATAGATAAATTTATTGTATTATAAAGGAAAACTGCCATCGGCTTTAGATAGTCATCTTCCGCGCTATATTTATATATTTAATATGTTAAGAGATAGATTGATTTTGATTTTATATATGTGTCTGATAATAAAAATGACTGTTATCGATTTAAAAAAATATAGAACATGTTTGTAAATGGAAATTGTGAAAAAAAAAAATCTAATATTTTAACTCAATTATTTGTTTTAACTCAACCATACACACCGAATCAACCTTAATCCACTATCTATCCACTCACATTATTTTAACCTAACCATCACTTCAAATCATCTATCTTCTACTTTTACATCAAATCAATTTTAATTATTTTATTTTAAATGATTTTAATATACTCACTAACAACTAACCATACCGCATTTTTCAAAATTCACCAAACAAAACAAAAAATTCCCAACAAAAACAAAAATTTCTATAAATAAATATGCTCATAATATCATTATACAGTGATAATATATTAAAAAAATAGAAAATCGTGAGGCAGTCCAACCGTTAGATATATAGGCTGGTCATCCGCCATACTTTTTACTAAGAAAAACTAAATATTTAAATTATAAAACGCCATACTATTATTTATAGATATATTTTAAAATTATATATGCATGTATAGAAATTTTAATGGTCGTCACACTCTTTTTAATAGAGATGTATATATATTCATTGCTGAAATCTTATAATATAATCTTATTATAGATTATATTATAAACAAAAATATGACATTTTCAAATATAAGTTTGTATATTTCATAAAGTTGGCTATGTTAGATCCGATTTTGTTATGGAGCCAATAATTGGCTCTATAGTGGAGTCAATCTTCTATATACAACAAATAAATCTACCATATTCTCTGATTACTGAAATAATATTAATATTATTTTATTAATATGATAAGTTTACTTATTGTATATAGAAGGTTGGCCCCACTACGGAGCTAACTGTTGACTTCATAACAAAACCGATGTTCGATATTATTGTTCCATAAATTTGATGATTGAAGGTAATGTATAAGATGGGTTGACAAAAAAAAAAACACGTGCTAATGATGGGTTGAAGGATCTAATATAGAAGGGTTCTAACTTCTTTTCCGTGGTACGTTTTCTACAGAGCTGTCGTCCCGTCCAAGTACAATCAACACAATCAATTTTTATTTTTATTTTACAATAGTATCTTAATTATTAAACAATTAATCAACACAATTAGTCATCAAAACATTATTCACAAATTCATGTACTTTTTAATTATCAATTAATTTTAGACTTATTTTATATCACTGTCAACTTTAATCATAAGTTTGAATTTTATAAACATTTCAATGAATAGGACTATTTTTATTTCTTATTTATTTGAATCATTAAAATTATATTTTTAATGGAGGGGGGCAAAAAAATAATAATTAAAGTGGTAAATTAAATTAATGGGAAATGCTACAATCACGTTACAAAATCATTTCGTCGGGATTTGTAACCGTTAGATCGTCACGGCCGCTATTCGTCACTTTGATCGGGATTTCGTCGGGATTTGTAACCTTCGTGGATAGTTGATCTTACAGTTACAAACCCCGACAGAATGGTTTCGTAACGAGACTTTAGAATTTCCGCTAGAAAAAAAAGAATATTTCATTTTTTATTATTAAATCTTTTGAAATCATCTCGTAAATTGTCCAAAACAAGTTGTGGAGAAAAAAACAAAAGACCATTATAACATCGCTGGATTTGTTGCCAACAATTCTGTTCACGTATCTTTTCTGTTCACTAGATTGACCTGGTCAACGGAGGTACACGCCCACAGATTGGATAATGCCATACTATCATTATCATGTTCAATAATAAGGGCCCAACAGTAGTACATTCAATTCCAATGCCCACACTTATCAATTACACACACACACACCACCTTATTGCATGATTGCCAAGATATTTTTCAATCTATTGGTGCTTGGCAGCCTCCGATTTGCATAAATCGGCTAAAAAAAATTAGTCAGGTGATGGCTAGCCGAGCATAGGTGGGCCTAGGCGCTTTTAGGCGGGATCGGCGATAATTTTTTAATTATTTTTAAATACTAATTATATTATTTTGTTATCATGTTTTCTTCATAATATACTCCCTCCTATTCATTATAAATGTCGTTTTGATTTTTTTTATTCATCCATTTTGTTATGTATCTAGACATATTAATGTCTAGATACATAATAAAATGGATGAATCACAAAAGTCAAAACGACATTTATAATGAATATGAGGTAGTATTAATAATTATATTTTGACTTAAGTGTGTTGATTTATTATAAGTTGGAAAATTTTATTTTGTAGACAATGAAAATAAATTAAAAATGGAGTATTTAATCTGGAAAACCTGCATAGGCCCCGACTAGGCGATAGGCGCTGGCCGAGCGTCTAGCGGACACTTAACGACTTCTAGAACACTTATTTGGTCGAAAAATAATGTCATTTAGTTAATTACATGCAATTCTAGTAATTAAGCTAGAAACAATTAGTGTATATATTTCAGAAAAACGTGAAATAAAGTCAGTTGATTAAGTAGTTGAAGACACGATTAATAAAAGGTATCAATCCAGCTAGCTCAAGATTAGGCTTGATAATTTGAGATTCTTTCGTTTGCGTGAGATTAATTGTAAAA